GGGGGGGCGAGGGGGAAGCTACCATGAACTCACCCAAGAAAAAATGAAAAGAAAAGACGTAACTGTAATAAATGTCAAAAGAAGGTGGTGAAGGACTTGCAATTTACGAACTTTACAGTTAAATTGAGCAAAACTAATACATGGTTATGATGGTTTGATATTAACCATTTGCACAATGCATTTATATAGTATCTATTTCTTGTATCTTGAACAGATTTTCGCTTTCACTGGTTTCATCCAAATATTAATAAATTATCTCGAGGAATATTTATACTTGATTGTATATGTATAGTACTGTATAAGATACGACCTGCCCCTTAATAATCTCTAAAATGAGTGATTAATGGTTAAATTTCAGAAGTCAGATACATTTGAGATGACAAGTTCGATATTTTTAGTACTTGATTACCAATACTCGCTTTTTGTATAGTATATTGGAGTGAGAATTTGCTTCCAGGTTCTTTATATTGTAATGTATGATAGATAATCAGTCCAATTAGGTTTCTTTTAAGGACTAAAATATAGGTTTCGTGTTAATAAAATAAATAGCTAAAATCATAGGCAATTTATGTATGGACTAAAATTTTGATATTTTACTATGAACCTTTCCCCTTCACACTACAAGGAATGAAAATCTAATGGAAACAAGTTTGACAACACCAATACTTATGTAACAAATGCTAACAAATTTATTCATAATTTTCAAGCCTATAAGCCTACACAGGTTCCGGACTTTAGGAAGTTTATGGACGCTTACTGCTCCTTTCTCCCTTGCCATCCATCCTTTCTTTCTAAAACACTCCTCTCTCCTTTTTTCTTTCTTTTTTCTATTCTGATCTGAGGTTTTGTTTGTTTACTTACTAGGTAGCTTGCTTCTGTTTTTGTGTGATTATGGTACTATCAAGTTCATTAAGAGATGCTGGTGCTTTATATATGAAAAGAAACTTTTCACGAGTTAAAGTATTTGACATTTGATGTTCTCCCCAGGTTTATGTTTGATGCCATGCATGCAGTTACTGGTGCATATGCAAAACCGATCTTTGTGGACAAGCTAGGAGCCAACCCAGTACGTTTTACGCATCAATTCCTTTTCAAATTACCTAGTAACCATTATCAACTTCTTAACTGTAATTTTTTTGTGCATTATATAGGATTCTATTACAAATGGAGTGCCCTTGGAAGATTTTGGACACGGTCATCCAGATCCTAACCTTACGTAAGAAAGTAACGTCTTCTGATGTATATGGAATTTATTACCATCAAAGCCATTACTGATTGTTGCTCGTTTTGAGAAAGATATGCTAAGGATTTGGTTAACATAATGTTTGGCGAGAATGGACCTGATGCTGGAGCTGCAAGTGATGGTATGGTTAGATGCATGATTATTACACAATGGTTTCAGCATCTCTAGGTTTTTGCATTTCTTTGGAATCATCAGCGGTAGAAGCACTCCCCATACCCACCCACACAGGAAAAAACAAAAGGAGAAATGGTAAAGGAAAATTTGGAGGAACTTAGAAACATATCTGTACTCTGTTTGGTATTTTTTTTTAATTGCACTTTCAGAATTATCTCTGGAAAATCTTTATCCCTATGATGATGATTTACTCTTCATTATGGCTAGGCCTAACCAGAAATTAATTTTGTTCCCACACGTTTGGCTAACTAAGTAAAAAAAGGTTATTTATTTTCGTAGGAAATCTTACCTTACGGTCAATATGAATAACTAACTTATTTCCAATCTTGTCCAACAAAAAAAGTAATTTATTCTGAAACTTGCGTATTTACTTGTAAGTAAATTTACTCATAGGTAAACAATTTAAGCTTAGCCAAACTTGCTGATAATATCCATTCGAGATTGGCTAGCCTTTTCATTCTTCTCAAATAATCCACTTTTTCTTGAGTGGTAGTAGTCATCATGTTGCTAGTCTTTCCATCTGCAAATGTTCTGCCAAAGCATAAAATCGCAGTATTTGCAGATGATATATGTTATGCAGTATTAATATGTAATGTCATCACTTTCATGATCATTCAGGAGATGGTGATAGAAACATGATTCTTGGAAGAGGATTTTTTGTTACTCCTTCAGATTCTGTTGCAATTATTGCAGCCAACGCTCAAGAAGCTATTCCATACTTTAAGACCGGTCCAAAGGTTTGAAAGTCATACAGTTTCTCTCCAATAATTTTTTCTTCCTAGAATGCACATAAGAATCTTCCATCCCTTGTATTTCCACAGGGATTAGCTCGATCCATGCCAACAAGTGGTGCTTTAGATCGTGTGGCTGAGAAGTTAAATCTTCCCTTTTATGAGGTTAAGCACTTCCACGCCTCTTGTTATAAATAACAGTTGATTTATAAGCCATACTCTCCTTAATAATGGTCTCCTTTTTCTTTTTTGGTTTAGGTGCCCACTGGTTGGAAATTCTTCGGGAATCTAATGGATGCAGGGAAACTGTCAATTTGTGGGGAAGAAAGTTTTGGAACGGGTTCTGATCATATTCGTGAGAAAGACGGGATATGGTATGTATGTCATCCCCTGCATTGTTGATCCTTCATTTTTGCACTGTTTGTATCTGCTATACTTGGTCCAAATATCACCTTGAAAAGCACTTTTACAGCCTAATTAACAGTAAAACACCATCGAAATGCATGTCCCTACTTCTGATTGGTACAAGCCTCTGTTTTATACCAGCTGCGTTGGTTAAATATTTCCCTTACAAGATGACATATCGGAATATTGCTGACTGGCAGGGCTGTTTTAGCTTGGCTTTCAATAATTGCATTCCGGAACAAGGACCAAAAACCCGGGGAAAAATTGATTTCTATCTCTGATGTTGTCAACGAGCACTGGGCTACTTATGGAAGGAACTTCTTCTCTAGATATGACTATGAGGCAAGCATATTTTATTTTACTGGATTTCAATTTTCTCATCCTTTGCATGTAATTAGTTTCTGTCTTACGATAGACTATATGCTGCCTATGAATTCCGGTTTTCTTCCATTGTATCTCAGGAATGTGAATCAGAAGGAGCAAATAAAATGATCGAATATCTTAGAGATGTAGTTTCTAAGAGCAAGGCAGGCGACAAGTATGGTAAGTTTAGGGTCATAATTTCCCAATATTTACCAAATTTTACGTTCTTTTCTTGATGTTGAAAGAGAGTTCTTGGTGCAGGAAGCTATGCCCTTCAATTTGCCGATGACTTCAACTACACAGATCCTGTAAGTCAAAGCTTCTCCCACGTTAGAGCATGCTTGTCTAAGCTTAAGAAAAATGTAAAAGTTACTTTTAAGTGACTTTTTGGTTTGAAACATGTTTGAAGAAGTTTATTTTTCTTCATCATTTTTAGTAAAAAATGTTACTTAGGAAGTAAGTCAAGTACTCTTAATTCTTACCTTGATATCAAATTGAGAGCTTATGTCCAACTTTAACCAACCAAAAACGTTAATTGTTTTAAAACTTATTTATTTATAAGTAAACTTAGTAAGCCTTTAAGCTCAGCCAAACATTTTAACTAAATAATCTTTAGCCATTGCTGTCTGGATTTGGGTGACAAGGATCTCTTATATTTCTTCAGGTAGATGGAAGTGTGGTTTCCAAGCAAGGCATCCGTTTCGTTTTTACTGATGGATCAAGAATCATATTTCGATTATCGGTCAGAATTGCCTTTGATATTATTGTTACTATTATTTTCTTTCCATTCCCTTTTCATGTGGAACCTGCGACCATATTTTGATAATAACCATGGTCTCGATTCACAGGGTACTGGTTCTGCTGGTGCAACTGTACGCATCTATACTGAACAATTCGAGCCAGATGTATCTAAACACAATATGGATGCCCAAACTGCATTAAAGCCTTTGATAGGTTAGATTTTCCTTCTTGTTGGGTGTGCTCATTTTGATTTCGAGTCACTAAATATGTTTTTATTTTCTTAGATCTGGCGCTGTCTACATCGAAGCTGAAGGAATTTACTGGAAGGGAGGAGCCAACAGTAATCACATAAACGAGATTCTAATATTTGTTCTAGTAGACAGACGCCTTCCCCGTAATAAAGGTCGAGCATTTCATCTTTTCTTCTGCACGTTATATTATATATTCTTTTAGTTCAGTTTTAGATGTATGATAGACTAAACATCTGCAATGGACCAGAAATGACAATGTATAACCACATACAATATGCATGAATATATTGGTAGAGAAATTCTATAGAATAATTTTTGTGATAAGAGCTCTTTCAGGCAAACTCTCTGAAATTATGAATCTCTAGTTGAATTACACGCTATGTGATCGAGTAAATTTGAACTTTAGTGTACTCAAAAGTATGATAGGCCATTTGAAAGACTGCAATAAAATATGAGACTTGTGTGTTGTTCTGTTCTGGTTTCTAATGCACCAAGGGCATGTTTGGTACACACTATTGGAGATGACTAGTAGATAAGATTTTCTCAACTCTTTCTCCCATAGTGCTGCCTTATCAAACAAGTCACATGAGCATATTCATTTCTGTTCTTGCAATTTACAAGTTCTTGCACATTTTTGGCTGCATTGGTTAAAATGAATTGTTCGTGTGGTTCTAGACAGTGAAAAAGAAGTTAAAATATTATCTATTATATAAGCTGTTTAATCGTGACAAGTGCTGTTATATTTTGCTTTTGCTTTAGTGTACCTCTGTTTATGCTTCGATGTCACTTTCATTTTCTTTTTCTTCAAACAATGCAGTAATTGGACAACATAGAGAATCATTTCGTGTGTTTTCACTAGTCATATATCTGAGTCAGATGTAACCCTTAAAATTGGAGGTTGTTGGGCTCTGTTCATATCCTAAACTGCATTTGCTTTCATGGTTTGTTGTCCCCTAGATGATGGACCTCTCACGTAATCATATATTCTGCATAAAATTATGTAGTGTTGGTGGTGTATCTATGGACCCCCTATTCTAATAGGTTAAGGATCATCTCACCTGTTTATTTTGGGTGCATCACACACACTACTTGGATTGTCCAATGGCATGTCCCGACCAGGGAATGTGGGAGACCGAGTCTACTAGGATAATCACGTCGTTCACTTTGAACAGTACGGGCACCTCGTATAAGAGCTTAATCTGATAGTTCGAGAGGTGATATGTTTATTTATTTATATATTTTTCTTTAATGCAGAGACTGAAGGGTGCCCTTTGCCTCATATGAGAAAAATCTACTCCTGGAGCTAGCGAATAATGCTTTATTTGCCATCTAACTCGGGCGAATATTTCTTTTTAACTTCTTTCTGAAACAAACTGAATTTTATTCTCTATGAATTTAAAGCTTACAATTGCATAAATTTGTATTGGTATCTATGTGAGAAATTTTACGTCAACTTAGGGATTAAGATACAATAAAAGTATTAACAATTAAATAATGTTGTTTTGTAACCAATTGGATTCCAAAGTTACAATCAAAATAACATTTCTTCGATATTATTATGTTTTGGGTTAAAGAAAATGTTTTTTTTTTATCAATTGCTTATTTGAGCAAGGGAGACACTTTTGCAATCATTTTCCATAAAACCATCCTTTATATCCCAAAAAATCAGAGGCCAAAATCAATAAAGATTGTCTTTGCTCCCCATTTGTAATAAAATCTAAACTAGCAATCAGACCCACCAAGAAAATAATGGCATGGACGAGACGGAAAATAAAAGCAATCAATCTTTTAGTGGATAGAGAACGGAGATATACATACATAAATATTTTATAAAACCATTATACATGGTGTGTTATATTAATAATTAATATAAAACATCGTAAAATCTAAAGAAAGGGGTTGGTCTGACCTCTAACTTGCAGAAAAACAAATTTACCTTGTTTAGGGACTGAGAAAAGTTAAAAGAAATAACATTTGCCCCCATCATCATCTGTCCAGAATAGTGCTTACGTGGCTCGCGATTACTTTCGGACTGGTTACTTGAGTGAAATTTCATAAATTTACTATTATATCTGAAATTCGGGAAATTCATAGCATCATCATATTTTTCATAAATGTATCGAAAGGTGTCTCCAGGTTTTACATACGTATATAAACTGTATTTGTCTGTAACTGTGTGAAGGAGAGGGAGCGGTTGTGGGGGTCGAGGGGGCACCCACTTTAAATTTATACAGTTCTAGGGTTAGATCCAACCTTGCTGGGTCTGTCAATTTCATGCGATCTGTTCATGGGGAGAAAGTCATTTGCCCCAGCTTTTTTCTGCATGGAATTTGGGCCACACCTCCACCATGTTAGTTGCCTCCATCGGTGGACCTTCACCTCACCCTTTCTTGTATTCAAGATTTTGGTACTAGGGTTCTTGGAATTATGATTAATATGCCTCTTTTGAGCAGGAATTAGTGCTGACAACTATGGAGCATGTCACTAATTGGGTTGTAAGAATGTCTTAATTTGATGGTTTGTGCCTGATCGATCTAGGCTCGTTATGTATGGTAGACAAAACAACACACGAAAAGATTAATGAATGAAAAGAAGCTCGAATCTTAAGAAACATGCAAAACACATACAGAAGTTTAAACCTAAGTTGTGTTTTGATCATGGATTTGTGCGAGTAGAGGGAATAAGGAAGGGGCAAAAAAAAAGGTATTGTCACAGATAATGTCACGTTAAATTTAATTCCCATACGTAAGATCTTATGCAACGTCTGACACGTTTGGTATGCATGGTATGGGACAATAATAAAGTAGGAAAAGAAGCTAAAATCTTATTCATTATATTGTTCAGCTTTATTTAATATTGTGCATCAAATGTATACTGAAAATTTAATACGAAATATTTTTTTTAGTGGAACTCAAGGAACTAATAAATAGTACATAATGATTGATTTAAATATTTTCTTTTATTTGTTCTTTAGCTAGTTTGATATTATATACAAATTTATTAGATAATAATGGCATTATTTGACACCAATCGAAGTACATTAGTTTGTTTTGTCATTCTATACAGTTCAAAATTTTGAAACATAAGCACATGTTTCACACTTCCATTGTCTCCCCATTAGCAAAATCCCTTCTATTTGCCTTGACAATTCATGAACTTTATCACCATTTGCACTTGTTTGTGTATTTTGATTTTAGTTAATGCAAGTAAAAAGTAGAGTTGACGAACACTTGTTGATTTTCAAGTTGCTATTTGCAAATAGGATACAACTACCTTTCTCGGTGAGAGAACCATGCATAATGTTTTCTTATCATATCAGAAGTCAGAAGTTTTTACTCTACTCGTTAGAAACAGGAGAAGTTTTTACTCTAGTCATTGAAATATAGTGTATGAATACTCATTTTTTATATTCTCGTGATAATGTAGTCTCTGCAAGTGATTTTAGCTAGAATAATTGATGCAGAGCATCACTTGAACATGGAAATGAACCCTAACTGAGTAATGCTTGGCATCGATTCTTGGACCTGATTGTGATGTATACTTTTTATGTGGTCGAAATAGGGAGCACGATCTAATGCTGAATGAAGTCAAAGAAAGCTTTCGAAGTTTGCTTAAACTAAACACAAAAATCTTAGAGAATCAAGAATTAAGTCAACGAAAAATGACAATTTTTTGTTGCATAACTTTCAAGTGCATTTTGAATATGAATAGAATTGTGGTGGTTCAGAGTTTGTTGCTCCAGTCGCTTAATGCCCACTTATTTGTCTTTGACTACATTGCTTTGGGTGTAAAACACTTTAGAATGTACGTACACCTTTAAAAGTTCATCTCTTTCATATATATTATTCCTCTATTTTATTCTTCCATAATTACGCAATTTACATAAAAAAAATTAAACAAGATTCAGAAATACTATAATACTTAATTTCGTCGAAGCACTTACACCTTGATTACCTTTAAACGTGTATTGTATAAATCAGCACACCCTTCACGTGTAGAGAATGATTAACGACGAGACTACAACTCAGATTCTTTATCTACTTCAATAGCATATTGAATCACTTGATCAATCGTAAAAATTTATATCAATCAAATATTATCTTCAACAAATAAAAAAAAGTATTGCTCTTTACCTAAATAGAACAAAGAATGAGAATCGATCGACCTATGGCGTGCTCATTCTCTAAGAACAAGTCCAAATTTATGAGTTGTATTTGTTGGTTAATTCCATTTTATTTAATATACCGAGTTTGTCTTTTAGAAGAAAAAACATAGCATCGAATAATAAAGGAGATTTGGTGACATTTTCTGTTCCACATGATAGTCTTTTGGGGGTGGCCACTCTTGTTACCCAACCTCTTATCTTCATCATTACTGAGATGTAGAATTCGTACCATTTTTAAAATTTTTTTATAATAAAAGTTTAAAGTTGACACCAAAGTTACCACCAAATAGTGCATTGCCAATCATAGTAGAAGAATATGAAAGCCTAAGTGCGTATAAAATGGCCCGCCGGTTTGAGTTGAAGCAACATCTTGAAGAGAGTCTAAAGAGGCCTCAAATGATGCAAAAGTGGTTGATGGTGGATTTGATGAAGGTGATTTCTACATGGTCACAAGTTATGATACCCCAGAAAGCTCATTAATTTTAGATTTGGGGTGTTGTCACTACACGTGTCCATACAAAGAGCAGATTAAAGATCATAAGCCATGTGATGCGCGCAAGGTTATGATGACTGATAATTAAAAACTTAAAGTTAAAGGGTATGGTGATGGTGATGGTGAAGGTGAAGATGTTTGAATGAAAGATGCGGATATTGACATGTGTCATGTACATCGCAGATTGAGATGAAGCTTGATATCACTGGTAACGCTTGACGCATTGGCAAATTAAAGAAAACTCAACAACTGCCGACTGGATCCAAACACTGCTTTACTACAGGATTACCTTGAGTACCAAATTTGCTCGAATTATCACCACGAACGACAATATCATTAAGATATCAATTAACTTCACGAGCTAGTAGCAGATTCTTCAATACCATATTTGCTAGAATTATCACCACAGGCAATCCAATCACAATCAACTCCATCCGATTCTACACTTATCAAACTATAAGCAATTAAATAAGTCTCATCGAACGATGTCTAATATATCTTTTCCTCTATTAGTGATAGTTGCATCAAATGTGATCATCGAACCTTCCAAAATATATAACTGTGACCTTTTCTACCCCTTTATCACAATTCAATCCTTATGTTGATTCCCCACTAATGTCCAAACAAAAATCTGTGATAACAAAAATTTGGTGTCGCGATCCAAAAGCGAAATATCAAACTTCATTATTGCCCTTCCGAAACAATCCAAGCTCGTTCTAAGTTGATCAAACATCGCTCTAATACTAAACCAAACGGGTTCTCCTAGGAATTGTCGAATCTGGCTCTGATATCACTTGTTAACAAATAAATTGATAGGTACACTTGTTAACTTGGGAACATGACGTACCATCAAGATAGAGAATTGTTTTTCACAGTCTAGGTGTTTATGTGTGAGAGAGAAAACTGTGAAAAATTTAGAAAAATGTGCGGATGTTGTTCACGGTACATTAGTTTTTCCAATTTTTGTGTAGGAAAAAGTTGAGAGTGAATCACAATTAAGTTTACTTTTCTTGTTATTAATGGTTACTATGTATGATTTGTGATTTCACTTTTTGGCTCATTTTGACCTTTTCCATTTCCGCAACACGTCTAGAGAGATTTTTCCCAACAAAATTGATAATAATAAATTGCAGTTTTAAGAGACGACAATGGTACATCCATCAGTAAAGTTGGAAGTGTCGTTAGTTTATTAGATGGAGGTACACAAATTGGTCCATCTGAAACATAACAATACTTAGGTAATTAATTTGAAATTTAATTTAAATATATATATATATATATATATTCGTGTACATTTTTTTTTAAAAATGAAAGTTAAAAGTTATTGCCTAATTATCTGCAGGTGGTAAAAATTTAAAAAATATAAGCAACTTTTTGACTATATTCCAATGAAATTACCAACCAAGAGATAGTCATCGGTAAGCATACTTAGGTGGTAAGGTATAAACCTCTAAGGGCTGTATTTTAAATGTCAAAAAATGATTTATTATTATTTTTTAATAGTGTCGTGTCAATTTTGTCCTAACATTAGCACATAATTGCAAGTGGGTGTTGATTTGTACAACATTGTGAACTTGTCACAATTCCACAAGCACGTTAGCTAGTTGTTTCATTGCTTGATGGCCC